TACGGTGTGAAGAAGATTTTCTCACGGAACAAGAATACTAGATCTGTGAAGCAGCTTTTGCGATAGATTGGACATGTTTTTTTCTCATGAGACAGTATTGCTGATGGTAATAATTAGCATAGAACTAGAGGTTTGGGTGGGAATGATGGTACCAGACATTGTAATATCATGCATACTGAGTTCCGCTTCTCTAGAGAAATTACAGGCTTTAGTTTTGGTGGCGTTGAATTCAACTAGGTTGTTGCAAGGTTGGTAGAATTGATAATTCATTTGCAGAGGAAGGTTGCCTCGATCAGAAAATACAATGAGGGGAAGTGGTAATTCATGACGTAATCACATACGAAATTTCATATTGGGATCATAGCATGTATGCATAATTCTAGATCACAGCTGGATAGGGAGATATACTTGAAGACCGTTGTAGAACATAGTTTCTCATGACTCGGAAATTGAATTTTCGATGGGAATACGTCACGAATTACCACTGCCCCTCATCGCATTTTACTGATCCAGGCAACCTTCTCTCACAAATAAACCGTCGATTCTACCAACCTTGAGTTGTTGGTTCCCCAAGCTGTAATTTCCACAAGACCTTCATTGACAGCGTCAGCCTGCTTTAGTCGTTAGTTATTAGTTTTTTTCGAAGTAATGGGAATTCTGGAAGAGAACGCAGTATGAAGAGTACTATCTATCATCTGCAAAGCTATGAGAAGGGCAAGTGGTTGTAGTGATTCACACGAGACCAACGAGACTTTCATGAAGTCTTGTCTCGTCTCGCCAATGAAATAAGAAGTCTTGTCTCGAGTCTCGTCTCGTAGCCTCGAGTCTCGTATTGTCTCGCGTCTCGTACGAGAGTCTCGCAAATGTATCGCAATTCCGTCATGCATAATCTTGTTTCAGTCTAGTACGGGATATCTACGTTTACCTACTTTCTAGGTATAATGTAGAAGAAGGAAGAGAAAATTACAACAAAAATAACATTATTTATTGAAAAACAAGAAAAAAATATATCATTATATATTCGAAAGTTATAAAAATGTAATAAAAAGAAACATGTATCGTATATTCCAAATAAATAAACGAAACAAAAACTTTAATCCAACATTATTCTGCCGTGACAGAGAATAGTCCGTTTTCGTTTCACGCATTACGTCGTTCTACAACAATCATGGATTGTGCTTTGAAATCATTTATGAATGAAATATTTTATCTATCTGTGCTAAATAGCCTGAATTCTTTCTGAATATGTTGTATTATGAATGAGATTCTCAAGTCTGCAGTCGGCACGCAGAAATATTTACCTGCGAGACTCTGGCACGAGACACGAGAAGTCTCGCACAAGACTCGAGACGAGACCAATAAAAGTCTGGTCTCGTCCTGTGCGAGTCTCGTCTCGAGTCTCGTCTCGAAAACGAAACGAGACCATGCGAGACTCTCGGAAACGAGACTCTCGCAGGCACCACTTTGTGGTTTCTCCCAATAGATAGTTTTGATATGAAGTAGAAACAATGTTGGTGCTAAAATTGATCCTCGTCGAACGCCATAATTGATGGCAAGGTAACAAAATTCGTTAAAAGAGGGTATGTCTGAAGTGATAGGTAGTATAATAGTACTTTGTGAAGCAGTCCTTGGCGCCAAACACGTTCAAATGCCTTCGATATATCTAGTGTTTCATGATGCGTCATTTTTGAAGAGAGTTTCAATGCTGAATTGAAAATTATCAGACAAATAGCACATATAACAATGGTTATTTCTTCCACCTTATTGATAAAATCGTCAATCGTCATTTAAACAAGATTGCTAATCGTGGTTTTTTACCAATTAATATTCAAAGGAAACGTTTTGCTCCAATTCCTCATTCAAGCAAAGTTTCCCAAAGAATCAGTAACCTTTTTCTCAGATTATGTGATGACTTTCTACACTTCAAATTCGATATCACGTATATCGTCAATAATAAAGATGAAATTATCCTTCTTCATAAACCAGGTGTATATGAACTATCGTGTTAACATCCCAATTGCAATTTTCAGTACATTGGCCAGAGTGGTAGACGGATTCAAACCAGAGTTAATGAGCATATTGAATTCATAAAAAAGCAACAAACTATCCTTCTCCACATGAATATACTACTAGTAGCTCCTTTGCCAACCATATTCTCAATTCCTAACATAGTTCAAACATTGACAATACATGTGTGCCAAAAAAGGTCGTCTATTGAATCTTTCAGAATTTTTTGAAATGAATGTCTTCTTGTAAAATGATAATGTGACTTCTGTGAATAAACGAACCCACTTAGATCGCAAAATTCATCGAATATTTAAACCACTTCAATTTATTTCGTCTTACCTTGCTCTTGTCAATTTTTGTATAACCTTCAGTTCCACGCACATGTATTTCTTTCACATTATCAGGTCAATTTTGATGCCTCATCAAACTATTTAGATTGATTCTTCAAGTTTTAATTATCACTGTTTGGTAATTCAAGGGCACGTGGGCTCTTGTGAAATATGAACCCGAGTCTGTTCTAAACCTTTTCAAATAAGTTTTATAATAAATTTATATCATTTCACAGGTACAGTAAGTTTTTTCACTAATATTTCTTGAACCCATTTTTTTCCAAATCATGGAGCATATTCCGCTGTTTGTCCTGTTATTAACTATACTATTTGTATGTCTACTTTTTTCATTTCCATGTAAGTACTATACTAGTTTACCTAACAAGTGCGGGAAGTGACACTCCGCTAACGCGTCGTTCGGCTATCTGTAATCGCATGCGGAAAAGTCACTTTACGCACGTGTTATGTACCCTATTTTTTTTTACTAGCGTGCGAAAAAAACCCAAGTGTCAACATGAAGGAACATTTACTACTGAATACATAGTTCGCAAATTAATTATTATTGATATCAATATTAAACGTGCAATTTGCATTTTGAAAATTAATTGCAGAAGCTGAAGTTTTTTCTAATGAAGTAATATTACGGTTTTCCATTGCTTTGTCAGCAACCGTAGCCATCGGAACTTGGCTGGAATCATAGCAGAATTCTAATAAAATTCCCCATTTATGTCATTATGTAAATTACAATCATACAAATATAAATCTTGAGTATTCGAATCTCAGTATATTCCCTTAAAACTTAACGCACTCAGTGCGGAAAAGTGACTCTTTCAACACTGAAATGAGTGCGAAAAAGTGAACTTTTCCGCACGCTAGTAGAAAAAAAAAATTGCATTTATATCCTGAGTCAATGCCAATTTTTCTATAGCTATGAAAGTTTCTATTGGCTGATGATGGGTTTAGAATAGTAGTCGTATGAGAATTATTCTTTTAATTATGATTGAATAATGTGAAGATGACTTGGAAGAGTTTTTTTCCGCTCCTTGATATTTCTGAATGGAACCTCAGTCCTAGAGAATAGAATTGAAATTATATATATGATATGGACCTGCCTTGCGGCAATCTGACTCTTTACGCCTGCAACGCATCCAAAATAGTTGTTTACGGTTTTCTTTCGGTGTCCGAAAGAATGACCACATCTCATCAGCAATGAAGGAATCATCAGGTTGGCTCGAGCTTGAGAAACTCAGAACTCTGCACCTGTTGATCATCACCCATAATGTACTGACGACAAACACGCCTGAGTACCTTTCAAAAAAACTGACATCATTTTCAGATATAAAAAGATTTGCAACTCGTAACAAATCTGTCCTAGTCATTCCCAAACACAAGACTGCAATCTTCACTCGCAGCTTCTCGTACATGGCACCGAAACATCAAAACCTACTCCTCAGTGAATTTAGATCATAATATACAATTAATAATTTCGAAAAAAGGTTGAAGCTATACCTAATTCAGTTAGGCGCCATAATTACCTTATACCGAACCTGCTTAGCCACTCATCAAGGTTTGTCGACTGTCCATATTCCTGACTAACCACTATTTACTAAGTACCACTTCTTTTTTTTTTCTCCTTTTTTGTGCTATCATCATTTGTACAACGGTTGAGTTTAAAAACTGGTTAGGCTGACACTCCGCCCTTTCACCAATAATTATTGTAATATCGTATCTCCACTTGGATCCTTGTTTTTATGTACTTTGGTGAATAAAGACGTATTATTATTATTATTATTATTATTATTATTATTATTATTTTGAGTTTATATGATTCCAGTCACGACCCTGCGGCCTCCGACGTCACGCAGATTCGTGCTGGATAAAATCCAGTGACTACTCCTCACAGCCTGTGAGGTGAGTAATCACTGGGACCAAGTACCGTGTGCCCTGAGTAGACGCAATGATCCTAGTATGACGGCCTTCTGCATTCCACCAGCCAGGATGTGTGCCTTATCACGGCACGCTGGGATTTTCTGGATCTCCGAGAGCAGCGTGTGTGTTATTATTGTTATTATTATTATTATTATTATTATTTTAAATTCATATAATTCCAGTCACGACCCTGCGGCCTCCGACGTCACGCAGAGTCGTGCTGGATAAAAGACGCAATGATCCTAGTATGACGGCCTTCTGCATTCCACCAGCCAGGATGTGTGCCTTATTACGGCACGCTGGGATTTTCTGGATCTCCGAGAGCAGCGTGTGTGTTATTATTATTATTATTATTATTGTTATTATTATTATTTTAAATTCATATAATTCCAGTCACGACCCTGCGGCCTCCGACGTCACGCAGAGTCGTGCTGGATAAAATCCAGTGACTACTCCTCACAGCCTGTGAGGTGAGTAATCACTGGGACCAAGTACCGTGTGCCCTGAGTAGACGCAATGATCCTAGTATGACGGCCTTCTGCATTCCACCAGCCAGGATGTGTGCCTTATCACGGCACGCTGGGATTTTCTGGATCTCCGAGAGCAGCGTGTGTCGTGTGCCTCCTAGGGAGCCGATAATCAGGATGACCAATTCCACAGAATGGTCTGGATAGAGCCGGCGGAGTTCGAAGAGAAGATCTCGATATTATTATTATTATTATTATTATTATAATTATTATTATTATTATTATTATTATAAAACAAACTGCATTTTTTGTAGAACTATAGTCTGATGAGTTTATTTGAAATCATAAGACATGCAGTAGGTAGTTGATTCATTATCACAAAATCAATTTATGATTTTCCTAATAGCATACACATTTATTGGACTCACAACGACCTCCAATGAGTCCTTGTTGCCAACAAGAGATATTGCAATCTGCTGGGTGGCAATCATTATCAATCTGCTTCAAACTCCCCTCTTTGACTACGTCGGAATTTGGATTTGGTGCTACTTCTTTGAAAGCCTCACCTACAAATGAATCACAAATTATTAACTTACCCAGGTAGCACATAGTGACAGCGATCGTGATCCAAAAAATGTTGACACATGCATACTAGTCATTTCATTATGTCAGTAAGAGAAACGTCAACTTCAAGTGCTAATTTTGAAACAAAAATTGACGAATTTTGAGACGATTGCAGAAAATAGAACATATAGCGAATCCGAGGGAAAGCAAAATTTGCGAGTCGAATAAAGTCACTTTTGATCACTTTTTCTGCAACAGAAAGAATTAACACCTTACTATAATCAATATCAGTGAAATAAATATTAATGTGACTCACTTGACAGATTATTAGGAGTTAAAGTTCAGGTTCAGCTCTTTGGAACTAAAAGTGTTGCCTAGCAACATACCCACCTTTTCTTTGTGTCAGTAATAGGAGAGTTAACTTCGAGAGCTCATTTTGTAGTTAAAATGAACCACTTTTGAGTCGGTTGCAGAAAAAATGAATTGTTAGCAATTAATGCATCAAATTACTGCTGCATGCTCCCCATATTTGTTGCCAAATATGAATTTTCAGGATAATTTAGGAAAAGTTAGTATATTTTTTTGATCTAATCCTTCATGAGAATGAGTAAAATCATTTCATACTTCTTAGTCTGTTATAAGAACATGAGTGCAATATGAATTTATTTTTATTTCATCATTATCATTGAATTACCAAACTCGTGAACATTTTCGATGCTCAAATATTCGTTCTGACATCCATTCGTTTATATTATGAGGAAAATTGAATACTTGCTCGTGTCTATATTCATTGAGATGAATACTAGTGGCTGTCTGTAGGTTAATCGAGGAGGTGGTACATTCATTATTCCAAATTTTTTGGGATTTTCTCTCCTCGTTTCTATAAAATAAAAATATGAATATTATTTCAATATACGTGTAGTAAGGACAAATCAGATGATTTGCCCCAAAATGTCACTGCGTTTAAAGAATTTTCCTATCAGAGAGCCTAAAAGAAAAATTCACTAGCTTGTCAGTGACAATTTGTATTGAAAAAATTTTGATCAAATTTTCACTTATCTTTGGACGTTTCGGGACCGATTCTGCTCCCGTTTTCAACATGAAAAGAGATTATTTCAATAGCGAAGTCGTATAATATGTCTTGAAGCTTTTCAGTTTTCAATGACAATTGGTGACGTTGGCAATCAAATGAGTTACAGGATGTTTTCATTAATTAATCTTGAATTTACCATTTTCATGGCAGAAATCATTGGAAAAGAAGATAACAACCAGAAGAGAAAAATCAAGGAATCTGCTTGCATTCTTCTGAACGGAGACAATAGCATTGCTTCTTGTTCAGTTGATATAGACAGAACATGGTATTCACTACTAAAATCTGAACATGAAAATGGTAAATTCAAGATTAATTAATGAAAACATCCTGTAACTCATTTGATTTCCAACGTCACCAATTGTCATTGAAAACTGAAAAGCTTCAAGACATATTATACGACTTCGCCATTGAAATAATCTCTTTTCATGTTGAAAACGGAAGCAGAATCGGTCCCGAAACGTCCAAAGGTAAGTGAAAATTTGATTTTTCTTCTATATACCTTTATTTCTCTTCTCCAAAATTTGTTCAATACAAATTGTCACTGACAAGCTAGTGAATTTTTCTTTTAGACTCTCTGACAGGAAAATTCTTTAAACGCAGTGACATTTTGGGGCAAATCATCTGATTTGTCCTTTCTACACGTATATTGAAATAATATTCATATTTTTATTTTATAGAAACGAGGAGAGAAAATCCCAAAAAATTTGGAATAATGAATACTAGAGACGTTTGAAAAATTAGCCAAAATTTCCTTCATCTTGCAAAACAAAAATACCAATACACTAATTTTCTGAATCGATGAAGCAAGAAATATTTTTAGGCGAAAGATGAAATGAAAAGTTGATACTCTAGTTGATGTTATGATAAAATGACACCTGCAAACAGCTTTCATCGTTCTTTAAGCCATTAGAATAAAAATGAGCAAATGAAATATCCGCCCAATGGTTATCGTTTCACAAATAATGATGAAAATTGTTAAACTTCAATGGAAACAAATTCATTTTCAATTTCTCATTGCAAATTTATTTCAGAAGAATACCAATGCGTATTTTTTATGATCTAATGAAAAAAGACACTCACCACCTGTAGGGACTTTCTTGTCAGGTACTGGACTACCCATTGCAACCCCTAGAACGACAACCAAAAATATGCCAACCATGATTAACTTCATTTTAGAAATATTTTATCTCTTCACTCAGTATACTTCTAGTGTTTTAATTATTAGAATTCTGAGCAATGACCCATCTAGCATTATACGTATGTCTATATATATCGAATATCAAGACACTTCAATTTTTTTTTCTTTAGTCGATACCAGGAATGCTTTTGTTTCGATAAGGATAATATAAAAGTTCGAGTACAGTTTTCCGCCAGAGATTGATAAGATTCATTTATATTCATTCCATCTGCTTCATCAGCCACAGTTGCATAAAAGCAACTCCATGTCCAGATTGTCCAGTACACAGCTTCGCAAATGATAATACCCTCCATACCGCCATCTCTTCCAGGGCTCCAATACCAGCCAGGCAAATCAGAAACGAACTAGGAAGAAATGTTGCCAACATAAATATGGACTTGGCAACAATTCCCGAACAACACACAAGCATGCCTTTTCTCTAGAAAAGCCGATCTCACTGTGCCCAACATAAGCTCTTCAGGAGTAACCACACCTTTGAAGGCATCCATTTCGATCCTTGGTATTACTATCAGCAATAACCTTTCTTGAGAAAATCACGTGAGATCAATTGCTAAAAGTGCATCCCAAAAACTTGATTTTCTGTTTCGGGCCAGGACCTATTTCACTTCGAGTCAGCTGCTCGATCTATATGGTACAGATCCGACCTGTTCTTGAATACTGCTCCCATAATTGGAGTGCAGCACCCAAACATACCCTGAAACTGTTGGATTGTGTCCAATTCGTCTCGTGGGTGACACCTCTCTCACAAACTCAGTCAGTTCTCTGGAACACCGTAGAAAAGTTGGCGATCTAGCTCTATTTTATAGATATTTTCATGGACGATGCTCTTCTGAAATAACAACAATTATTCCTCCCTTGGCAGTCCCCGCGAGATTAACCCGTCGAGTCGAGGCTTCGCACCCCTTCGTGGTCACTTTGGAGACCTGCAGAACATCTCTTTCCAAAGACTCGTTCATCCAACGAACAGCGAGGCTCTGGTTCACCAATTCCTACCTAATTTCCCTTGGTCCTCACGATGTTCTCTGAACATTACAGGATATCCCTTTTCGTGGGAACCAAAACATGAAAAAAGCAAAGATACTCAGTCTATCCTTTCTCAGCTGACTTTTTGGTCTCCTCATGATATTTCCTCAATATCCTCAAGTCGGGCTCACAAAGAAAGATGGAAAATGAAGAAATGATGAGGTATATTTGTAATTTCGAACCATGAGGGTTTCATAAACACAAAGTTAATCAAATTATTCGTTGATATTGAACTATGAAAACTGACCAAATTCAAACGCAGTGACATTTTAGGGCTAATCATATGATTTGTCCTCACTCCACGTTTATTGGAATAATATTCATATTTTTACTTCAAAGAGACAAGGAGAGAAAATCCCAAAAAATCTGGAAAAAAGAATTCTCGTATTCGTTAGCGTTGTTCACATGCGTTGCTATGGCGTTTGCTGGAAGGAAATGCCAGTATTCACTTTTAATCCCTGAGGAGTTGAAAGTGCCGTTTTGTTTCCTCAAATGATGTATTGAAAAAAAAATTTTCATTCTCTGAAGTACATGTTTACGATGTAATGCATGTCCTAAATTAGAGAGAGCTAATAAAATGTCCGAGGGATTAAATAATTATTTTCACCTATATTCAATCACGACTTTTTTCTAGCTGGAGAGCTTTTTTTTCCCCTATTGATTATTATTTTCAAGTAGTGGGTACATAGATTATTAATGTGTATCGTTGTATCGATATCGATAGACAATGAGTTGTTAATCAGATTGTGAAATTATCGACATTATTTGTCGAGTAACTTGGGAGTTAATTGCTTTTAAGCCATTCATATTGTGCTATCTGGCCTAAATTCAAAAGGTGATTGTTTTTTTTTTCGAAAAAATCAAGTGGTTGATTGATCTTTGATAAATATTAGTTACAAGGTCACCTATTCATCGGGTTTCTTTGATTTTTTGCTATTTTCATTTTTTTTTTTTTTCGTCTAATAATTGAGCTGAAAATGTCGATCAGGTTATTTTTTGGACGACCTGATCATTCTTAATAGTTTACCACATTCAATTTTTTTAACACCCTTTTATTAGCGTCACCTGGATGTATACAGGGTGTTTCCTAACTGCAGGTGGTGATTCGTTAGGTAATTTTAGGAAGAATAGTTCCTATTCACATATGTCCGGAGTTGCTTCGTTTCTGAGATACAGGGCGTTGAAATCAAAGAAATAAAAACGGTAATTTTAATATAATCAAGAACATCCTAGAACCGATTCGGCTTATTCAGCCCTATTTAGAATAAAATTATTGAGGCCAGTGGCGTCTCAGTGGGCACCACAGCCAACAATATTGTGAAAAAAAGGTTCGCCACTGACTTTTTTCGATAAATTCCTACTTCTTTCTAAAATTGAAAAACTCAAAATATAACTTTTTGGTGTCTTGCATTTTCTTCATATCCAGCTTCGATTTCGAAAAAAAAAATCGAAGCCACTGTATTGCATATCATGAACACCTGCATTGGAGACATGAGTTTTCCATTATTTTCGTCAAAAATTCTATTGACACTTGATATGCGGAACTTTCAGAAAATTTTACAAATGAAAGTACCAAATTTCAACCGAATCGGTTTCAAGATATTCATAATGAATCATAATTATATTTTATCTTTCTTCAATTTCAACGCCCTGTATCTCAGAAACGAAGCAACTCCGGACATATGTTCATGGGAACTTTTCTTTCTAAAATGACCTAACAAATCACCTCCTTTAGATAGGAATCGTAGTTAGGAAACACCCTGTATACAGAGAAGTGCACAGAAAACGGCCAGGACTCAACTTTCGAATTATTCGAGATATGGTTTTGAAAATTGGTGGGCAGCGAGTCCCGACGGAGATACAAATTGCTCATTAATTGACGAAACAATTTTTGTTCTATCATGTCCGATTTTACTGGAAACGACCCAATTTGATTTCAAAATGGAACACCATGTATTGTATTCCATAATCGGTTGGGGATTGTAATATTGTCTGGATGAAGCCTGCGGAATTCGAGGAGAAGATCTCGATTTTCATTTAGTTCGGTTCTCCTCCTCCTTCAAAACGATGTTCGTTTCGGGTGACGCAGAAATCTAAATCATGAACATCGCTTTGGTTTGATGGTCGAGAAGGACTATACTTGCCTATTCATGGGCTGCTCGACGAGATGAAAAAAAACTGCTACTACTGCTTCTTCGTGGGTTATTATTATTATTAATATCATTTAATATTGTGGAGATGACTCAGTGAAATTTTCTTCTGTCCCTGATGATATTTGTTAATATGAAACCCTTGTCCCGAAGAAAAAAATCCAGTCGTATTTCAGGAAGTAACATTTCCATAAATTGCATTTCAGGAGAGTCGATCAAGTCACAGAAAACGTCAATTCAATTTCAGAAAACATCAATTGTATTTCAAAAGGTATTTTGTGAAATTCAATTCAAAACAAACCTACTCTACGAATTTGCTCTTTGATGAAATAAAATTATTTGATATGAGACAATTATTTTCTTATAGAATAGTACAATACCAGCATGAACACAAGAATGATTTACGCCCTTCACTTCATAACTATAGTACCCGTCACAAAGCCGATTCTACTTGGGTTCCAAGATCTGAAAAAACAATACTAAACTAATACAAAGATCCTATTACTACCTAGGGCCAAGATTGTACAATGTCGTTCCCATAGAAATCCGTCAATGTTTTGGATCATTTACTTCCAACAAAGATTAAGAAATGGTTAATTCCGGTGTCAAATGAATTTATCAAATCAATCATTGATCACAAAAATTCATGATTTTTTTGTGATTGAAATTATAGAAACATTTTTCTTTCCCAATTATTTTTCAATCAATGTCCTGTCCTCTGTTATATTATTATTACCTAGTTATTTCTACCTTATTTGTTGAATTATTCTTTACTAGCAAACCTCGCATACGTTGTTTTGCTATACAGGGTGTTTTATAATTGAATGCTGATCCAAGAGGGCGATAATCCTTGGATGATTTTAAGAAAAATTTTTCATTTGAACATAGGTCCGTATCAGCTTCGTTTCTGAGATACAGGATGTTGAAATTTAACAAAAAAATCAGTTATTCCCCAATATCTCTGAAACCGCTCTGGCTTTTTTCTCCAATTTTGGTACATGCCGAGTATGAATAGAAATACATTTTTTCCATAATGAAAGATTTCTTAATTTCCATCAGTGGCGTCCCTGTTAACATACCCTGTCATATTTTCCATCAAAATAATGATACGCCACTGTCTTTTTCCAAATGAATATTATTTTTGTAATTATCCTTTATCTTCTCATAAAAATGGTCTCGTGTCTTTTTTTCGTCCGGCGAACGGTTTTTGAGTTAGAAAATAAAATGCATTCATTTGCTTGTCCCTATTCGATTATTACTCTTAGTCATAATTTCACAATTGTGGTAACCAAAAGATCTGAGCAATATTTTTAAAATTTTATGGTAACTATTTTTAAGTATTTGTAATGAAGAAAAAAGTCAGAGTGGTTTCAGAGATATTGGGGAATAACTGATTCTTTTGTTAAATTTCAACATCCTGTATCTCAGAAACGAAGCTGTTACGGACCTATGTTCACATGAAGAATTTTTCTTAAAATCATGCAAGGATTATCACCCTTTAGGATCAGCATTCAATTATGAAACACCCTGTATACCTCGCTATATACATTATTTCTATAATATATCTTTCCAGTTGAATATACATCAAGACACTATTATTATTATTTTTTGGTTTCGCTATCTATAAAAGCATGTTTCTTCAGTTTCTCAAACTTCCATTTATTCCAATATCTTTTCAGTTCACTTGAATTTCCCAATTTCGACTAAAGAATCATGATATCCGACTCCTAAAACCACACATGAGAATTTTGAATTGAATCGGAACATAATTACAAAACTTCTCCGCAATTTTGGATCCACTATCCTAATTCCCTAATTCGGACGAAGGAATCATAATTTTTCATCCCGAAAACGCTCA